CTACGGCGTGCCGCTTTCTGTTCGCCTGGTCGGGGCCTAGCCCTGCGGTTCGGGTTTGTCGCCTTACTTTCTCCGCGGCCGGCGTTCGGTCGGGCAGTGACTTACGCCTGCGTGTCCGTGGTGGGTAAAATGACTTCTTGCCCAGGGCTTGAAAAGCCAACGCCCTGTCAGCGCTGATGTCCGTTCTCAAGACTCTTATTTCCCACGGCACGGGTAAAAATAAACCGTCTGACTCGTGTAAAATTATATACCGGCTTTGAGTGAAGTGTACCTTCTCGCCCACGGGCTGCTTATTGATCGTTTATGTTTGCACAGGTCCGTGTGCAGTGGGAGCCCTAAGCTATCCTTCATGTAGCTGATTTAGCTGGAGTACAGCAGAGGTTGTTTCATAAACAAAGCAGGAGTAGGAAGATAACTTAGTAAAGCTATATGAAGTTAAAATTGTGTCCTACCTGCTATGTTTTATTATTGCCCCAAAGAGAATATTGATGTTAATACTGAGTCTTTCTATTTTTAGAGTTGTAACTTCATACTAAACTATCTTTCAGTACTTCAAGGCAAAAAAAAAACCAACCACCAAGACATTGCAGGCCTGTCACTTTGACTTTTTTCTTTCCTGGTAGTTATCTTTAGTCCTGGTTGTTTTCCCTTCTCCTGGTATGCAGAAAAGATTACTTCAGTTCTCTTGTGTTTTGTCTTGCTGTACTAATCAAGCTTATTCCTTTTAGTCTGCTTTCATGGTATGGGGTCCTTCATCTTCCTGAGACTCTGCAGCAGCATCTGTGTCTGGTGTATGGTAATTCTGTGACAAAAAAAAAAGGTCCCAAATTGGGGGAGAAGAGCCTCGCCTGAGACGTGTGAAATATGGATCTAAGCTACTAGGGTCTCCTGTTGGAAGGAAGCTGGGTACAGCAAAGCAGAAATGCTGTTCGTGGTCTTAAGGGAGGCTTGGATTCAGAAAAGCTTAGAAACCTTGTGTCTCTTTCAGCTGATGGAAACTTCCTTCGGGTATGGAAGCTCTTTCCACTGTAGAAAAGAAGACCTTGTAGTCCACCATGAATTTGTTTTGATATTTATCACTTTGGTCTTTGTTTTGCTAGTTCTCTTTGCTGTTCTGACATTTCTTTATGTTGCCATACCTTCCACAGGCAGCTCGGTAGTGTCTTATTTTTGCCAAAGTGTTTTTTAATGTAGAACCTTAAACACCATCAACATTTTGCTGAGTAATCTGTTTAATCTCAAAAGGTAGTTTTAAGTTGTTAGTACATTAAAAACACTGATTTGCACCATTTTGTAATAAATTTATTTTATATGCAACGTGGAAAAATAAATTACCTAAGTTTTCAGTCAGAATTAAGGTTACACCTTTCTATATGGAATTCTAAGCTTGGTGGGGATCTCTTGAATTCAGTCCGGTTTTGGCTTCATTATAGTGACTAACTTGCAAAATACTGGATTTATTGCTTCTTAGGAAACAACATGTAGGGATTTCACCACCACCCCCATCATAGTTCTTCCAAGTAAAGTTGAATGAAAGATGATTAACCAAGTGCTACAACTCTGTATGATGTTTGCGTGCTACCTGATTCCGAAGTTATGATGCTGACTGCTTGCTTTATTTAAAGATAAAACACATTCTTTTTTTAATGCTGTCTGTCAAGATGAAAGATTAAACCGGTTTTAGCAATGCAACCCTTTTTCTACACCAAGTCAGCCAACTGCACCAAAATTTAATTGAGACTGAGTAGATGATTTACAGAAAAACTGCAAAGCATGTGATGCAACTGAAGAGACGAATGGATTGACACTTTGAGTGGGGGGAAAAAAAAAATAAAAATGTGACCTGGCAGGCTAGATGACTAAGTATGGCTAACTAAATCTGGTTTGTGGTTTTTTTTGCCTAGTGCTCAAGTAAGGATGCCTTAAGAAGATAACCATGGATAAATATATTAAAGTGCGAAAGATTGGAGAAGGATCCTTTGGGAAAGCAATTCTTGTCAAAGCTAAAGAAAATGGCCAACAGTATGTTATTAAAGAAATAAACATCTCTAAGGTGAGTGATAATTATTAATTACTGATACATTCTTTTTGTAATTCTGTTCGCAAAAATCATTATTTTCTTTCTGAAGATGTCAAATAAGGAGAGAGAAGAATCAAGGAGAGAAGTTGCTGTATTGGCTAACATGAAACATCCGAACATTGTCCTGTATAGGGAGTCATTTGAAGGTAAGATTAATTAATATGGTAGAACCTGAAGTAGTGGTAGTAAGTGACTGACTGTGCACTACTGATTGCATTTAGTTTAAAAGTCAGTGTGTTTTCTCTCTTTAATCAAACTTTTTCAGACTGTTATTACTTAGTTCAGTTCTTCTCGGTTGTATTTTTTTCACAATTCCCCTGTATTTTTAGAAATAATAGTAATAAAAAGAGTGCAACAATTAAATGGCAATGTTCATGTCTCTTGCTTACATGCATCAGTTTTGGTTGATACTTAAATGAAAGGGTTATGCTCCCTTGTTTCTCAGAGCCTCAGACTTCTTGAATACTTCTGTATACCCTAACGACTTGAATGCTCGTGTATGTTAAATATAAGTATGGTCTAAATTTGGGTATTGATAGCCTAGCAAGAGCAATTTTTTATTGAAGTATGTTGTTTTAGAATGCAGTCTTCAGTAATTGCAATCACAGAATTGCTTTCAGAGCTGGAAAAAATGACGGGACTGTTTACTTCATCAAGCTATGAAGGAAGGAGAAGTAGAATTCCACATTTTTTTCAGAGGGAATATCTTGGGAAATGAGCAGAACAAATAAAAGAATCCAAAAGCCTATCATATAGGTTAAAATACTATTAAAAAAACTAAGTAATGTTTGAGATACTGTTTAGGGACACTGCTCTTTTCGCCTTTCCTTCTTTTCTGCTGACTTTCATATGTCTTTTGATTGGGGGCTTTTATTTTTTCTATTCGTTAAATTAGAATTTTGTGCTATAATTATATTGTACAGCCATAGTCTTCCGGTTTATGGATCCACGCTTCTGTCTTCTCTGTAATACAGGCCTGTTCTTTAAGATTCCTTTTTTGCTTTTTTCTTCTTACAAGGTAGATCCTGTAATCTGTAGTTCACAAGGCTTCATGTTGCATCTTTATTGCTAAAGCACATTGACTTTGAACATCCTGATTTGGTTTATAAAAGAGAATTATTTCAGCAACAGGTCCGCAAGAAATCCAGACTCCTAGGATCATAATTTAAAATAATACCGATTATAAAGCTTAACTAAAATACAGCTGTAAGCATAAAAGAAAAATCCTGGGTTTGATGTTTTGAAAGACAGTTTTCAGAAGCATCCTGCAGGAGTCAAATTTAAGCAACTTAGATGATTTAATTAATTTTGACTCTATTTAGAGGGTTTTCTAGGTGCTATGACTAACTCTTCTGAGTTTTTCTTTTGATCAGCATGTGATTGATTTTATGCATTTATTCAGCTCTTCTCAAAATCAGGCCTAATATATGAGTAGTGTAGTTCTTGTGTTTTTGGTAATTTGTAATTTACTTCTACCTAATCTCACTTTTCATCAGTAACTGGAAAAGATTGCACTGAGGAACAAAACAGTAACTTTGTGTGAAATGTGTTATATATGTTCATACCTCCTCGTGGGAACTTGCATAGGAATTTTGGAAGTCTGCCCAAATTTCATTCAAAAATGAGAAATAATTATTTCTATCTGTCATTGTCTTCTGCAAGTTTTATTACTGTTCTTCAATCTCTGAAATGAACTGTATGTCTGGTATGAGAGCTGATGATTGTCACGTTCTTGCGCTTAGGGTGAGTAATACCTTGTCCAGGTAAAACTCCAAGAAAGAATTAGGCAAATGGTCAACTACCTAAATTAGAACTTAAGATCTCTATTTTTAGGGTAGGGGATCTATAGGGTGTTTGAAAGCAGATTGAAGAATGGTTTTGTATTGCATTCATAAAGTGACACCTTTAATTTCATAGTGGTTTTGAACCCCATTTTGGGGCTTTGGTTCAGCAGATGTCATTTTTTTTTCTCTCCATATCAAAATAGTATGATGTTACCAGAAATGGGAAACTTACGTTGTGAAACTCAAAATAATAAAAGCATTTTTGCTTGAAGTTTGAAAAAAGTACTAATAAACGATATTTGAAGCTGCATGTGAAAATGTTCATTTTTTGTTGCTTTTTCTGTGACTGCAGTGAAGATATTCAGAAAGTTATGTTAAAGATGGGTCTTTTTTTTCCTTTTTGAAATACTTTGTGTTTCATTTTACAGAAAATGGCTGTCTCTACATAGTGATGGATTACTGTGAAGGAGGAGACCTTTTTAAAAAAATAAATGCCCAGAAGGGAATCTTATTCTCTGAAGATCAGGTAACAGCAAACTGCTGCTATGGTGTTTTGTTGCATGATATTTTTTAACGAGTTTTAAATTAGTTTAATTCAGTTTGGTAGATATGATTGCTTAATCTAAAAGGAGGTTCTCAAATTGTGGTTCTCGTTGCCATCAGTCACAGTAGTATTTAAAAAAGGGAAAATGTAGCTGGAAATCCTGGGTATGTTAATTGGGGTTTTGTCTGTATGTGTAAGGTGCTTTGAAAAAAGTTGGATCTCTTGCATAGTAAACCAAATCTGAGAAATGAAAAATACTGAAGGACAACATAAATATTTTTAAACCTTTTGAAATTTTTTTTAAAGGTATAATGGCACAAGATTTTTGTTTTGTAATAGTGATTTTCATGTATCAGAAGTATAAAATAACATACTTCGCAAGTATAATAATATGGAATATGGCAATATGAAGTTGACATCATTCGAAAGTGTATTCTTTCCATTAGAAAAAATGTAATATTGTATTGAAAGTATACCAGCAGATTTTTTTTTTCCACAATACTGGTTATAAAGTCATTTGTACTGTGGGAGAATAGGAATAAATGAAAGGATTTTATGTACAGATTTGATTAAATGAAGTCAAAATAGATTACGTAGGATTCAATTTTTTTGTTAGAAGTGACATATGTTTCCTTGTTTATTAATTGTTTCCATCTTTTTATGTGTGCATCCAGTAGGATCTCAACTTACCTGTGATCGGAAAGGCTTAGTAGTATATTAGGTCTATTGATGGTATTTAGAACAGGGTAATCGTGAAACATTTTGGGTATAATATGTAAAACTTTTCATTTTTCTAATTTGGACTCACTTTTGCAAGAAGAACTTAAAGTGGAAAAGTGAAAATTACACCTTGTGTTATACTGTAATTTTGACACGTATGTACTTCTAAGTTGGGAATGTGAAACCACTATTCACGTAGAAAAGTTCTTGCTATTAGTCACTTCTTATACTGTGATTTTTACAAATTTACTGAAAAAGATGGGTTTTGTTGGCATGTTTATAATATGTTGTTTGTTGCTTTTTTTCATTGAAATCTGCTTTGTACTATTTTTAAGGTAAAATACATAAAATTACTTGTCCTGGTGTGGCGCTGACATTGCTGTATGATAAAATGTGTGTTTCTGTAAACATCGGTATGGCTTGGTTAATTAACTGACTGCAAGAAGACTTGTTGTATTGGTTACAACAGAATTACAATCTTTGAGATGCAAGTTCCACGTCTTAAACATTTTAGCCAATCAAATTCATATTGTGTACTTTTGTTAGGTTTATAATATGTAATGAAACCAGTAGTCTCAGGCTTAATATCTAATTTGGGTAATATGCATGTTTCATGAAAAAGTTTGCATTATACTGACAGTAGTGTTACGGTTTTAATTATTCTGTGGTATAAATGAAGACAGGTTTGTGGAAAAAAAAGTCTTGAGCTATAATTATAAAACTGATTTGATAATATCTCCAGTTATGTAACTGGGGAGGCTTTCAGATAAATAATGATGCTGATGTTGCATTTTCTTTTATGCATAGATTCTGGATTGGTTTGTACAAATCTGCTTAGCACTAAAACATATACACGATAGAAAAATCTTGCATCGGGACATAAAGTCACAGGTATGTCAGTAACTATTTTTTAACTGAATTTACTTCCAAAGTGATGACATTCATATCTTGCTAGTCTAAGTTGGCAAATTATGGAAAATAGTCTTTTGATGTAAACACTTCTAATAATGGAAATACTTCTTCAGGATTGTCTGGAAGAGGTTTATATGATATTTGTACAAACAGATCAGGCTATTGGATTAAGCTACTTGAGTGTTACTCATATTTATGTGTGGGGACTGAAAAGGTTATGTTTTGGAACGCGTAATAGTGTTTTCTTTAATTTTGACAAAGCAGGACTAGAATAAGTCTGGTGTTTCATGGTAGTCAATAACACTACTGCTAGTGACTTCAGAGTGATTGAATGGTAGATAACTTTATTCTTCCCAAAGCATGTTGAGAACAAAAAGTGTGCAATTGTATGAATGTTTTAATTAACAGACTTCTTAACATTTCTATATCAAGAATATATTTTTAACCAAAGATGGAACAATACAGCTGGGAGATTTTGGGATCGCCAGAGTTCTTAACAGGTAACTCCTTTTTAATGCTGTTTTCTCTGACTTCATCTAAATCGCTTTGATCTAGGAAAACACAATTTGTGCACTTCACATGAGTTAACTAGTTAACACTCATTCTTATTTTTTTCTTAGTACTGCGGAGTTGGCTCGCACTTGCATAGGAACGCCATACTATTTGTCACCTGAAATATGCCAGAACAAACCTTACAACAATAAAAGGTACTAATAAGCATTTTTATTAAGCATTTGTGGTAAGGAGAAGAAAGTGAATTCTTTTAGAAATCTGAAGCTGTTCTCTTCATATGATGGTGAGCAGCCATTAGTTCATCTCTTACCCAGGAAGGTACTGAGTCTCACTCTACAAGTGGGACCTTAGTAGGTCTGTGCAGTACAAAGCAACGTGATGCAGAGATGACCTAGCTTAGTGCTTCGAGTTCTGTATCTAGCCATGCTCTTAGTTATGGCTCTGCTTTTGCCTATCTGCCCGTTAGTTGTACTGCCTTAATTTATGCAGTGCAAATGGGAAACTGTGTTAAGAATGAAATCGCAAACACGGAAATTGGATTCTCTAAGAGCATGCATAGATAGGTGGCTCAGGTTGCTTCAGGTAACAAAGTCATACAGATACTTGGGTTGTGCGTTTGCTGTCCTGACAGTAGGCTGTATCTGGTAACAGTGTCCCTAATGTAATTAAAATGGATGATATCAAGTTAGTCTTATACTGCTCTAAGCTGCTGCATCCATTGCTGTGGGTGATGCTCATTTAAGTTGGTTTCTTAAAAGATAAAAACTTGTTCCTTGTCCCTTAATTTCTTCTACATGGGATTTATTATCTAATGGTATTCTGTAATCCTGTAATGAGTAAGGGTAAGGTAAGTCAATGTTAAACAGAGTAAATTGACTTTGAGAATTGTATTTGCTGAATTAGGTGGTGAGTTTTGTTTGGCTTTTTGTTTGTTTAACTCAGAGACCTCAGGCAAATGTATATATTTAAAGAAAAAAAGCCTTTGTCCATATTTTGTCTAATTTCAGTGATTGGGATGGTTCAGATGAAAAGGTTTAAATAAAATCTGGAGCCAAAATAACCTCATCTGGTGATCAGGTTGGCTTTATTTTTGGTTGTTGAATTCTTTTTTTGTTCGGGGTTTTGTGGTTTGGGGGGTGGAAGATGTACATACAAGGAAGCTTGTACATACTCAGAATATAACCTTTTCCTTTTCAAAGACAGACTTCACACATATAAGTTACTTGGCAATGTTATACCTGGAACTAATTCTTAAGATATGTTCTCTTTGATTTAGTGATATCTGGGCCCTTGGTTGTGTTCTCTATGAAATGTGCACACTTAAACATGCGGTGAGTAGCAACTTCCTTTGTCTTTAAAAGAATAGTGATTTCAAACAGGAATTTCTCCTGATGTTACGCAAATGTATTTCAGTTGATGAAGGGCTCTCAGTGTGACTGTTTAAAAATACCTTCAACATTTTCATCTCCTCTTCCTATACTGACCAACGTTTTCCATCTGTGTTTTGGCTCCTGCCAATCTCTCCAGAAATCTTAGCACTGTGTATTTTGTTTCTAATGTAGCTTTTTAATGAACTGTGTTAGCTGAAAAAATTAGGTGTAACAAGCAATACTGTGAATAGTGTTCCTTTCTTTCAAAAAAACTTGACGTTTTCATTGAAAGTCAGATTTTGGACTGTCATTTTTTGTGCAGATGGATTAATGCATTTCTGTCTGGAACAGGAATAGTTCCTAGGGAAAAAAACTCTCAAGGTGACAGAGTTCTACTCCGCGCCCCATGAGTCTGTGTTTTTTTGAAGAATATATCTTTATCATCCATTTTCCAGTTAGGAAGAGAAGGAAAAACATCTTTTTTTCTCTCGTTTTGGATTTTTTTGTGGGTTGTTTGGTTTGGTTTTTAATAGCTATTTTTATTAAAAGAAAAAGATTATAACAACATGAAAATCAGAAAAAAAAAATCAAGGGATAAGGATTTAGTTTCATTTCAAGCTTTTGTAATTTCTTATTGCTTGGTCTTTTCTGTGGCGGCAATGCTGACAATGTTGCTTTTCTGAGAGTTGATGACAATAGGTTGTTTTCTGTGAGCTGGATGATATGTACTGTTTTTTTTTTTATTGTACAAAGCAATTGAAATGGTGCGCTCTGTTTCCTGAGCTTAAACTGAAGTCTAAGCATTCCTTTGGATTGTACACTGAATGAGTGTAAATGCTTTACATGCCTTCATTTGAAATGTGGCTTTGCTAAAAAAGGGCGGAAGGCATGCGATTGTTTGAAAGTGTTTGGGAGAGGAGATCAAGCAGATAATTATATATAATTGTATTATCCTTAATTATATATCATTGTCAGTCTAGATCTGGAAGGAAATAATTATTTGTTAGCAAAATTTTTATCTCTACAGTATGAAATATCTGTATTCTGATGTATTTATAATCAGAATACTTGGCAGCAGATTATTTTAAACTGCTGCTGTAAACTGTTGATGGCCTTGAAGATTTGTTTTGGTATGTTGAGGCAAAGGAAGGTGTGGGGGTTTTTTTTGTTGTTTTCATCTTTATATGCAGTCTTGCATGTGGACAGACAGTAAGTAATACGTAGTAACTCTTTTCTTTCTTGTGTGACATAGTTTGAAGCTGGTAATATGAAGAACTTGGTACTGAAGATAATCTCTGGACCTTTTCCTCCTGTTTCTATGCACTACTCCTATGACCTACGTAATCTGCTCTCACAGTTATTTAAAAGGAATCCTAGGAATAGACCCTCAGTAAACTCCATATTGGAGAAAAACTTTATAGCCAAACGGGTTGAAAAATTTCTCACGCCACAGGTATGGAGCTGGTTTTAATTCTAATTTTACTAAAAGCACCGTAAGAATTTTCTTTTTCTTTATTCTAATGTTAATATACAACGTGAGAAACTGGAGTAATGGTATTCTGTAGAAATTTTACAGAGATACTTTCAGTTGAGGAAAAAAGAGCTTTCCTATGAACTGTAAAGAAAAATCTCAGATTACTTAAGTATTTGGAAGCTTCCACAACCAAATTTAAATTGGCATTTTCTTAAGTACATTGTTTTGTGTATTTTTCTATAGTGAGGAATTATGAGTGAAACATTGATTCGTTTAGATACGCATTTTTTCATAAGATGGTACTGTCAATGACTTCAGCATTACTGCTTTATCGTAATTTCTTCAATTCATTTTTTGTTTGGAATTTAGAATGGCCTGAAAGTGTGTTGTATGAAATATTGCTAGGTAAACTAATCTTTAAAGTTCTTGACGTTTAAGTGTATCATGTATATAACCTTGAAGGAGTTGCTCACTTGTCTGTTTAGACCTCACTGAGTATAAAGAATTCTAATGGATGCTAACTCACAACTAAAGAAATTTCGCAAGAAGGCCGTATATAATTAGAATTTCAATTGTATATGAAATAGACTTTCAACTAATAATAGTTCAGATTAAATTCCCAATGAAAGGTAAGAATTCAGAAGTCTACAGATAATTTTGTTCTAACTTCTGCAACAGTAATAGTTTGATCTGATTTTATTTCCAGTAGCTAGAATGGATATGAAATTTTTATCTGGAGTTAGTCAGGCAAAGTATAATTAGTAATAGGGTAGTACCAGATGATGATACTAATTTCTCCTAGCTTGAGTATGAGTACTTGCACACAATTTTTCCAACTGAATCACTAACATGTTTGACTTAAAGATGCTACCTAATCTTAAACACAACAAATAACCCCCACGGCCAGAAAGCACCTTTTAGTAAATGTATCAATCACTGGTACATTTGTATTCAGCCAGAGGTGGTCATTCTGTGATGCAGCTGTAATGCTTATTTTCTTTCTGTTTCATCAATGGCTTATACTGTTGTCCTCTGCTTTCCTTAGTCTAACCTTAAGAGATCTTCGATAGTTGACATCTTCAGCGTCTTGGAACTATTGCTGAAATCCTGCTCTTAAATGACAGGAAATCAGTCTTCCAGTTTTATATAAACTTCTTTTTTAATTTTCATAGTTACTAAGTTACAGTGAAAGGTGGATCTAAATTAGCATCAATTTAAAAAAAAAAAAAGAGCTTTTTGAAAGGTACTGAAGAGTCATGTTTCTTTGCTGTTGGTAGCTGTGTTATCGTGGAAACATCACACTTCAGTTGTTACAGCTTACCACCCAAATAAAAGCTTCAAGGTCACTGAAACACCATTAGTAGGAGACTGTTCTCATGTGCAACTTCTTGCTTACAGAATCATTTGATGACAGACTGCACGGGTTAAAAAGTTTCTCTGCCATCATGTGCAGAGTCCTAAGTGCTGCACTTTGGTTCTTTTTTTTTTTTTTTTTTTTTCAGTTTTAACTCCTCACATCCATTGTAACTGACTGGTAGCGTCTACGCAAATCAAAATAATTTGGGTAGTTCAAGATTCTATAAAGACTCCTCCTTAAAACCTTGTGGTTTTGCGACTATTCAGTTAACATTGTTGTCAGAACATTAAGTAACACATCCCTGGCATGCTCTGTCTCTAGAAAGGTGGTCTGTAGTATGGGCATTACCTGTCTGCAAGTAGCTCTGCTGTTGTAAAAAATACCTTTGCAGTTCCCATCCTTTGAATATCCTGTGTTGGTAGCATCAGTTGCCGCACTCGGATTCAGCAAGAAGTTTGAGAGCAGGATGTTAGGAAATGAGAACCTGGTGCTGGCTCAGCTGAAAGTCAGTCTCACTCCATGTCCTGAGGGCAGTGAACACTGACAATAAGCAGTGCCTGGTGAGGCATATAAGAAGGCAGCAAGTCTACGTGACATTACCCTATGCTACTCTCCCAGCCTTCATCTTTTGTTGTCTCAGTTGCGTCCGCTCAGGGAGTATCTTCTTTGGTATTTAGTCATCCTCAGTAGATTTCTCGTCCGTGAGCTGATTTCTCCTTGAACGTGTGTAAGCTTTTATAATCAGTAAGAAACTTCACAGGTCTGCTGCGTGTTGCAGAAAGCATCAACTTTGTTTATTCTAAACGTTCCTCCTTATATTCGGTTGTACTCCACTTCTTATGTTGGTATTATCGTTGGCTGCCCTTGTGTCTTTCTCTGTAAGATCACATGTGGTATTCTAGACCTGTCACATTCCATCTCTGTCATCTTTTCCTAGGCTGAGGAGCAAGCTTATTTGTTCTTTGTACTGAAGCTTTTCAACACTTCTAATTATCCTTCCTGCTCTTGTTTGAACCTTTTGCATTTCTGCTACATGGTTTTTGAGGTGTTGGGTTCAGAACTACATATAGTATTCGAGATGATGGCCTATTAATGTTTGAGTGTTCTTTGTGTAGACTCCAATTTTTTACTCCAGGAAAGCTGTTTTCCACATTTTATTATGCTAATTTGATCTCCCTGACAGCACACCATATATATTGTTTCTAGATACCACGTATGTAGTCATATTTCCATCTTGAAAAGGACAGAGAAACTTAAAAACTGCAAATGTTTTTAAAGGACTATTTTTTTGACACAAGCTGTCTTGAGAAATTGAAGTGAAATTTGGCAACTATACAGAAATCTAAAATTAACTACGTATAAAAGTATGTTGATGCTCGCATTAACTTTCTTCTAGATTCTTAGCTAGTTCGTAAGTGAGGTAACGTGCCACTCAGAAGTTAGACTAAATAGGTTTTTTAAAATTATTTGAGTAATTATGCCAAAAAGGTTTGAAAATACTGAATCCAGCTTCTTATTAATGTTAGTGATACTAAAATGAATACAGGAAGCTGAGTATTCATTTAAATTTAAGTTAGAGTAAACACTGTTAGTTAGATGTTTACTGGGAGTGGTACGCTTCTCTGAAAAGGAGTTGTTTCTAGCTTCAGTCAGAAATACTGTTGACTAACTGTTCGACTTTTTGTTTAGCTTATTGCAGAAGAATTCAATCACAAAATCTTCCAGAAGTTTGTACCACATGCTGCACCAGGTAAGTAAGTGTGTAAAGTACTTTTGCTTTCAGCTCTGGCAAGATGGGGTATGTAGCTTTGGTCGTTTATTGGTTTTGGTGTGTTCTTACACCTGATTCTAGAAGTGTCAGGAAAAAAGAGAGAGAAGCAATTTTCCCCTTCCTCTGGGGAGCTGGATGTGTGTGGGGTTCAAATGGTGTGAATACAAGCTATGGTCCTGTAATATTTTAGATGTACTCTTTCCTCTCACAGTATGCTATGCTTCCAAAATTTAAGGAGACAGCAAAGACTGCAAATACTGGAAATAATTTATATGTTGTTATTGTATGATTCCCTCACTCCCATTACTAATGACAAGTGGGTAACGAGAAATACCATTTCTTGTAAAAGTGTGGGAGGTCTCATTAGAGATTCCAGGATTAAGCCCTGACTCCAGCCCAAAGCAGTAGAATTTCTACTACTGGTAGCAAATTAGGTTGTGGTTCATTTTGTCAAGATGGTCTTACCTTCCTTCATTTTCCTGCATTAGTTTACTCTCTTGTTTTCCTAGATTTTCTTCCCCTTATTTTATTTCTTTGTAATTACTTGAAGGTGTGGCAAGTGCTTTGGTGTATTGTATGTTTCACTGCTGTCCTGCTATTCTGTAGTAAGAGCGCCCTGCGAACACAGAATCAAATCCACAATATGGCATGTTTTCAGGAACTCCATGGGGAAACCAATATCCCTGAAGGCCATTGAAGCTCTTCCAGAACTCATCTTCTGCTGACATTAGTGTTGCAGGCTCCAGTCCAGTGTCGTTAGTGGAGGGAGGCCTGTCTCTCCATTCCATTAGGAGAACTTCTCCCTGTGTCCATAAAAAATGGATAATGAAGCATGGCAGCTGAAATAAGCTTCAGTTCTCCAGTTTGAAGTGCTGAGAAAGAAAAGCTCAGGGCTTGTGTTCTGCTGGTTTTTATCAAGCATGACATTTAGATGAGCTGTTTTGGACAACTGGGTACATGGCACTTACTCATCGGCTCATGTGAATAAGATGTTAGGACTTCACCCATTTTCCTCTAGCTTTGCTGTTCCAAGACCTTGGGAAAGGGAAATACGGGACACGGGGCAGGCTGGATAGCTATAAAACAATTTTTTTTTCTTCTTTTTAGCTAAAAGACCAGCTCAAGAGCAAATACTGACTTCAGTTGCACCAGCTCAGAAAATTACCAAGCCTGCTGCAAAATACGGAGTGCCTTTAGCCATCAGGAAGTCTTGTGATGCACCTAAAAAGCCTAATGAGAAGAAGCCATTGGCTAAATCTAGACAGGTAAAAAGCTAAGTTACTTAAATTGAACTTTTTTTTTTTAAGGTTTTGCTCATAGCTTAGTTAAATGCTATGAAAATACTATGCATTCCTTTTCAAGATGTCTTTTATGTGGACACATGCATCTGCAGAGAAAGGAGTAGTTTAAATGCTTGCTTCATTATTATTTTTTGTTTGTTTAGTTGGTTTTAATATAATTATTTTTGGAGGCTGCTACCTTAGGTTTGGTTTTTAATGACACTGCTAAACTAGATGTGCTTTGCATGTTTTCAGTTGGTGTTGACTACTCTTAGAAATATTGGAAGTCTGTCAGGTATACCAAGATCACTGACACTGGATAAGAATCTTTGCCTCTTTCTTCCTTGTTCAAAAATAATCTCAATTTTTCAAAACATAGAAAACTTTTTTTAGTCATTTTCTAAAGTGTTGTCAGCCAGAGAAGTTGTGTAATTGGAAGAGGAATTTCCCAGACTTAAGTCCATGAGCTAATGAGAAATACTCTTTTGTATACCTTCGTACAGTATTTTTGATCTTTCTTTCAGTCATCTTCTCTGTACTCCTTATTACATAAAACTCTTGTGTGTTTTTTCTTTTTTTCTTTTTTTTTTTTTTCCCCCTCCACTCTCTCTTTATTACTTTAATTACTGCATGGCCAGGAGATGTTTATGATACAGCTAGTTTTGAGCTATATGCACATGCCAAACAACTAGCAACCCAGAAGCTGCCACTTGAACAAGAGAACTAATTCAAGTTTTCTTCTGAATAAGTAATATTTTAGTTGTTGTTATTGTGGTTTTTTTGTGAATTTTGGGGTTTTTGTCTTTCCTTCTCCCTGTGGCACTTTGCGGAACATAATACTCAGATCTCTATCCATCTATCGAATTTGATAGGTGGATAGAAAATTATCCTTGAGGTTCAATAGTTATCAGAGGCTTAGGGAAAAGCTTGGTTTAATATGTGTAGCTGCTTCTTTACCAGATATTCAATAGTGGCTGCATTCTCCTCTTCCATAGATAACAAGAACCTGGGTTAGAGTTACCCAAGCAAAAGAGCCTAAGGATAACCAAATAAATCTGTTCTCCAAATAAAAGAGAATCTTAATATCTAGGGACCTTCGAAGACTTATAATAGG